TAAATATGCAGTGTGTGTGTGTGTGTGTGTGTGTGTAGGTGGGGCGGTGGTGGTGGGGGAGGGGGGGTGTTAACCAAGATCAGGTTTAGTATTATTCCCTCCATAGCTGCCCCATGCAGGATCACAATAAACCCAATCAAATGCAGAAAGATCTGTTTGGACCTTGCCAAGCAAATCTAATCACGCATGTAATTAGAAAGTTGCAATTTTAATGCATACAAGTACAACTTCTGTTTCATACAATTTTAATGAGATAGAACCATCCATACCGCTTCCATATTTGTTGTCAAAAGAATCTCTTTGCCTCTCTTCTCCATATATGGTAGAGTTTTCACCATATGTCATTGTGTCCACTTGCGAGTTATCAATTCCCTCTGAAAACTCCATCTTTGGTAGATTCCATCTTCTTCTTAGATGCTCACGGATGCTCTCTTTCCCACCATTAAATTCAATGTGTGTTTTAAGGGTCACAAGACACTGCAGAATTGGCTCCATGTATCCCTGCAAAGCATCTCATATTATCTGTTTCAGTAAATTTTTACAAGAGACAAAGACATGAAAGCTAGTAACAGAATATCCAGTTTTTTTATGCCAAATGCAAAGGCAAGTGGTTTTGGGAAATTTCACAATAAGCCCCCAAACCAAATGATGAGCTCATCACCTTAAACCTTATATTTCATATAACTACCAACAAGAGCCAGCCCAGCTAGACATCAAACTCGATCAATGATGAAGCACAATGATATAAAAGGTAAACTTGTCACAACAATGTATCAAAACTAGGTTTAACACTCCCTTCCAAGACCCACTTCACTGAAATCTAACTAGGAGATGACTTATTAATAGACCTAGTGTGTCAACACATGACTATTTTAATTATATTGTCTTTAGAGAACAGATCTAATGTCAAGTCGGTTCCACTTCCTTTGAGTTTGAATCCCAAAATCAAATGAATGATACCTAGCTGAATCAATATTAGACTGAAATTCAAACTACAATCGCTTTTATTACAAAAAAACAATTTGCTTACCTCCTGTATGTCTGCAAGTACAAACCTAGGCAAGGCCAATTCATCCATAGCTGCTAGAAACTTTCGGATATTTTCTGGTCCAGGTTCAGAATTGCCTCTCTAAAAGCCCAAAAAACAAATCCAAATTCCAGATAGAAAAAATCAAAACCAGAAAAAGAAAAATGTACGAGATAAACAGAACCATACAGCAGAAACGTTGATAAGAAAGAAATCCAACCATTTCAACTAAACCAGGACAGAACTTGTTCAAAATACTACACAAGACAGTGCCATCAATCAAGTATGCTCTCAGTTCCTCCTCTGAAGCATCCAGTGGCATATTTAAATGAGGTAGGGCATGGTTTAACCACTCAACCAATGATTGAATATTGACTGCAACCAAATCAAAGTTATCAACTAAGACACATAATCAAGAAAGGATAAAAAAAGCAGCACGGGATTTCGCGCTTTCCTTACCATCATCAGCATGAGCTTCATTAGAGCTGTCATATCCCCCATTTTCGCTCAAGCTGCGTTCTGGCGAAATATCCATATTTCAATGATCTAGAATTATTTGCTTCTACGTATTAATTATGGAACTGCACAAAATAAATGTTCAAAATATTAATTTCCACACCTTAGCAACTCTAATTGTAAAGATTTTATCTACTTTAAACTCAGGTTGAGAAAAATGAGAGAGATTTTGTCACAAAAAGCTAACAACGCCGGATTTAGATTCTTTTCTTTCCCTACACTTTACCAAAAACAAAGAAAAAAGAAAAAAGGAATAAAAAAATCACTCCAAAATCAACTAAACAGTATTATTTAGCTTAATCAAGTTTAATAGCCTATTCTAATGAACCTCAGCCAGAAAAATAGATGCAACGAAAATTCGTTAACTACAATTTACCTCTACATCGTTAGGTACCTTATGAATTCAATAATTTAAAAAAAAAAAAATTGCAAAAACCCTAACAAGAGCAAAAAAAATAATTCTTCATTTCAAACACAGAAATCACAAATGCACTTCCATATATGACCAAAAATACACGAATTCGCCACCAGATCGACATTAGGCCCTAATTAGAAGCAAAAGGAGTGCTACGGTCAAAATGTGAGTAATGAAAGCTCGAACTTGAGAGAGATTGTTAGAGGCGGAAGCGAACATGAGATCGCGAAGAATCAATAGCCATTGCTATCGAAGAAACCGTAAGAGAGAAACCGTCGAGGAAGAAATGTATAGATCGACACCGTTCTGAAAGAAATCGGAACTTATTTCGGTTTTTCCTTTCTTTCTATTGGGGTCTCAAGATCGAGAAAGGAAAACAGCTTTGTTTGCCTATCTTAGCTGGGAAATGGAACGCGTTTTTTCAATTTTGGGTTTTTTTTATTTTTTGAAATAGCTAAAAAAAAAAAATCTGGAAGGTGGGGTCCATGGTGACCCCAGCCCCACTATATTTGGAGTGGAATTCCCGCCTTGTAGCTTTTGTCGTTTCGGTTTTTCTCTCTTAACTTTATTTTATTGGGATTTGAAATTGAAACCATAACAAAGCAAGGTATTGAAAACTGAAACTACGACGTTTTATTGAAAAGCAGACGAATGCTATCAAAATTGCGTTGATATTGGTAGTGTAGAAGGTGTGGTGATGGAAGACTTTTTGTTAGATTTCATGAACGTGCGGGACTGCTGACTTTTACTAACTAACATGATTTGATGTCAAATGCGACTGATTTTGTTTTTTTGGAATAAAATGGGATCCAGTAACTTTCTTTGTTATTTTTTTTATCTAAGTTATAAAATTTAAATAGAATGAACACGATTTAATATTTAATAAAAATAGTAACTAATTCAATTGCTTGTTATCTTTTTTTCACCTAATTCAAATTCTCAAGTTTAAAAATTTAAATATATGTAAAATGAATCATCACATTATTCTTGAAATAGATAAAAAAATTAAATTTAATAAAAAAGATTTATAAATAGCTAGGCTTTGTGACTACACATAACACTATGTTTTTACATAAAACTAGAGTTATTACAGTGTATGCATATGAGCTTATAGTTATATATAAAAAAGAGTGTGTTGATATAATTGCATCGTTATAGCAACATCATCAAGCATTTGCATTTAATTACAAGATTTTTAAAATCTTGAGAGAGCTAGAGTCCACTCAATAAGGATATTGGTTATCTTTCTTTGTTTTGGAGTTTTGTTAGATATAGAAAATGTTATTGGTGAAAGGTGTTAAACAACAATAAATTGATTTTTTTTATTTTCCAATCCATATATGACTAATGAGATCATTAAAAAAAATCCTTAAATCAAAATTAGCCTTTTATGGTCTACTGTGAGACCAGGCAAAAAATTATAAACGAGATTAAACTTGTACTCGAGAGTTCTTAAAAAAGTGTGTTCTTATTGGACCGAGAGACTCTATCATGTATATACAAAAAAAAAAATGAGAGTGCATCGTATATGTACTGTGATGTGGTTGGCTCTATATAACTTTGAAAAGTCCGTGTACTTTAAAAATTTATATAGGTAAAGACTTTGTGACTCTCTATTGTAGAGAGTTTGTGTCTCCAAAGTTTATCTTCCTTTATTTATAAGATCAAATGTATTTAAACACCTAGCTTGGATATTTCTTCATAAATGAGAATTTATGAAAAATTGTGTCATTGGCCAGATAAGTGGTTTATCAGTTAGTGTGATGATGTTTCATGAGTTTTGTGCTCAGTATGTAAATGTAGTAAAAGTTAATGTGCCACATCTTTGTGGCATAATATATTTATTTTTATTGGTGTTAATGTAAGTTGATAGATATAACAGTAATATAATTATTGATGCTAGAAAACAATATTTATCTATAAAAAGCTTATGCATACAAGACAATAAAAATTACATGGCTAAATGTTATAATTGTTAGTACCTTAGAAAATAAATGTATAAATATGAAAGGAAAAGGCATGAACCAAAAAAATCATGAAAAAAAAAGAAATAAAATTAGATTAGTCATTCGATCAAGCTCAAACAACTACATTTGGTTATCTAAAATGGTTGACAAGGGTGACTAGTTGCCTGAACCTAGCCTAAAAAACTTTTTTATATATAAATTTTACAATTATTAAGCATAACTTGTCATAACAATATATAAGAATTGCTTTTTTAATTTTTAAGCAATCAAGATTACATCCAATTATTTCATTGACATTGCTAAAGTCATAAAATTTTCTAATTATGGAATGATTCAACTTTAATAAATGGCTTCATAAGCATTATTTATTTTTCTATTTTTTTAATTAATAGGGGTATCTAAGTTAGTTTATGTGTATCTTAACTACTCTAAGATTTATGAGACTTGAATTGGTGATCTCTAAATAACAAATTTAAAACTTGACTAATTGAGTTACACCCCTCAAGATTGGGATTTCTTGATATTTATATTCTATTTATTTTGTATTAGATAAGAGATTTAAATATTCATAAACTACCAATTAGATTTAGTATTTATATAGATATATTTATTATTATTATTATTATTATTATTATTATTATTATTATATATGCATGCATGGATGCAAGCATGTATTTTATGTTAATATTAAGATATGTATATATAATATTATATTAAAAAAATCTAAATTTTCTATAAATATATTTATATAATATATTTGTATAAATATATAAATTATTCAGGATGAGTCATTATTGATCGGATTCGGATTAAATTAACGCCCCTACTTTTGTTTGCTATAGCTTACATAAATTTTGAAGACAAATTTGGATAAATATTTCATCGGGAAATTAGCACTGCAACGAAATCGACTTCTAGTCTTGATTGATTCTGCATGCTTAGTTGTCACTACACACAGGCCAACATGGCATGATGCTTCCTTGCAACGAAAATTAACTCAAAACTTGCTGGCTTCTGGTTACAAATAGGCCCCGGAAAAAAAATGGAAAAAGAAGTAGATCTTGCATTGAAACAAACCATAAACTGATCAGCATGCTTCGTCTAAAAGATAACTTTTCCAGGATTTTGGTCAAGGAAAGCTGGAAAATAAATGCCTACATGCATGTTGACAAACAGGATTGTACCATCAAACAAAGGAAAACCAGTGGACCTGCATTCTTACAGTCCCTGGCTTCTGAGGACAAAGTAATAGTGCTCCTACTCCCTAAACGAAGAAAAAGGATAAAAGTACGGAAGATAACAAAATCAAAGAATTTCAAGAAATGTTCAAGAACCAATTTGAAACCAAATCAATCAAGACTCTGTAGGCATCTGGTAGCGACAAACAGGGCATGTATTGCTATTCATTAACCACTCAACAATGCACTTCCCATGGTAGATATGAAAGCATGGCATGCGTTTGGCTTCGGACCCCGTTGAGATCGTTTCTAAGCAGACGGGACACTCCAAATTTGATGATCCCCTATCAATCTTCACCTCCTCCAAGTTTTCAATGGATTCTTTACTCGCGGACTGCACCTTTGAACCCTCATTATCACTAAATGTTTCCGCTAACCTCAAAGATGGATCTTCAAGATAAAAACCAGCAGAATAAAGAGTGAAAGTATACGGCTGAGGAAGAGGCGAAACTTCACCCAGGGCAAGTTCTGTCCGCAGCTGCATTGAAAGATCATTAGCATCAAGAACATGACTAGTGTATGATTCTGAAGAAACAGAAGACATGTTATCCTCAAAACCCATATCTTCCTGACCATCAGTGCTATCATCTTCAAAATCAGAATAGTCATCTTCACTCAAATCATCCAGTACATACGTGGACACTTCGAATTCCAAGAGTATGCGCGCTGATTCATCAAAAGGGATCAATCTTGAATTATCTTGATCCCATCCATTGTTGTTTTCGAGGCTACTTATAAAGGGTATTTCAGTAGACATCTTCAAAATAAGAGAGAATAAAACCCAAAGGAAAAACTGTGAGCAAGAAGCGGAGGACAGGATCAAGAAAAAGAAAGGGAAGAGGATGTACTTAGCAAAGAAGGTGAAAAGAGACAAAAATGCATCCACTGTATACTTTTTCTCCGTTTGGACAAACCTCAAATATACCCCTAACTTTTGGGATATAATAAAGTTTACTCCCAAAATAATTTTTGTATCAATTTTGTCCCCTGAGTATTTGGATATCTCAATAGGGTCCTTTATTATAATTCTAAATATAAAACGTTAAATTTTCTACAAAATGATAGTGTTTCTTAAAGAGAAAGTACCTTTTGAATTGGATCCGTGATCAAATATGGATGGAAAAACTTAATTGCGAATTTTTTAAACTAGAGAGATAAAATTGATAAAAAAAAAATGTATTTAGAGGAAAATTGAGCATACTTAGGATTAAGGTTCATCCTTTTATTACAACTAAGGAACTAAACATTAAAAGAAAACTAAATTTTCTCGCCCTGTGGATTTGAAGGGTTTCTCTAGATTTTTAACTTCATTGAAATCTAATTCAATGAACTATGGTTTAATTAGTAGTGGAAATATACAATTAAAAGAAAGAGGAAGAAATGCAAGACAAGAGAAAAATGCATCTTGCCGGGAAAAGTCGATAAAGACTTAGGATAGTTTTGAATTTGGGTTACTTTTCATTTTTTAAATGATTAAATGTTGATTTAAGAATTAAAATAAATTTATTGAGGTGTTTATTATGTTTATCATATGTTTTCAAATGAAAAGGGATTGGAATGTATTTTTTATTATGTTTATCATATTTAGACAATGATTTTTTAGCCACTAAAATGGATGACGGTGAGCTGAAAGCCAACCAATAGACGATAAGTCCTTTGTCGTAGTAAATGACGTGTCATTTGATAGACATACTTGAGTATATGACCCAAGTTATATGTTTGACAAATTTTATTTAAGTTGACTAAAATTAATATAAAATATCATTGTCTAGGTATTTTTTTAAAAAATATTAAAGTGGTGTCGCCTTAAATTTATTTATTTATAAGTTAAACCAAGTTTTTGCTAATTTGACAATGTCATGCTTGGACTCACTTAATCAACTAGGTTACATAAGATCAACTTCCATTCAGTTTAATTTAAATTCTAGGATAACCAAGGGTCCAACCCAACAAGTCTTCAATATTATTCTATTGAAGCAAGCACATTTTTTACCAACCCTCCACGATGTTTTTTTCCCTTAAATTTTATTCAATTAGTTTTACACATATATATTTTTTTATTATCATATAATTAAATAAAAAATTAATTCAAATAAATAAGGTTAGTAGATAACCAAGTTAATAACCCAAGTCGTGGTAGTGGCGATTTAGCATTGGTTAACCCGAGTCAATTCAAAACATCATCGATTCAATATTTAAAAAATGCTAAAATGATATTTTTTTCATTTTTTTTTTGTCAAACTAGGTTTTAAGTTTGGTTTTCATTTTATTTTTTTTGTCAAACTAGGTTTTAAGTTTGTTGACCAAGTCACATTTGGATCTTATTAGTCGATCAAGTCATAAAATATCAACTTATACTAAGTTTAATTTGAAAATTATGCCAAGCAAACAACTAGCATAGAATGTCTCCGGATTGACCTAACCAACATAACTACGTTAAATAATGGTTTTAAAAAACATTTTCCAAGACAATGCATCGTGATATCTTATTCTTACATATATTTTTTAATACATTTGCAGTGGAATTATTATAACATTATTTTTTGTTTAATTTAAACTATGATTATGGAAAAATATTTATAAAAAAATATATAAGAAGGGACACCTTTCTTATTTTGATTTTAGATTGTTCAAATGTTTTTTTATATTTGTTCTTGTTGTTTTTTATTTTTATTCAATAAAAAAATTATACAAACATATTTTTTTATAGGATATAACTTATTAATTTTGTTAAAAAAGTACTCTCATCTAATTAATTGAAAAAAAATGAACAACTCTTTAACTATCTAATGAAACATCTTACATTTTCAACCTAGGTATAAAATTCTCTTTAAGTACCTAATATACAAGTTATTTTTTAACAACAATCCCCTAGTTAATTTGTGATATTAAGCAGTATCATGTTTCATGTATAAAAGAGTGTATTTTTAGATTTAAACATCATTTTAGTGTGAGTATTTCAAAACTTCAAAGAAATCATGATTGCAAAAAAACTTAAATCAAGATTTTATTCAATAGATTGGAAACACTACACATATGATCCAATTAATCCAAATCAGGAGTTCATCATTATTTCAGCACCAATATGGCATTGTGCTGCTTTTCTGAATTCATGAACATTTATAGAGTTTTTCAATTTTTTGTTGAAACCACACCACTTTTTATGTTCATATAGGTGAAATTTCCATCTTATATTGAGATTTCATTAAAAGTGTCAATCACTCATCCTTCCATTTATTTGGAATGCTAATTTTATAAATATCGATTTCATACACAAATTAATATATAATTAGTGCTTAAAAGTGTATTTTTATCAAGGTATTATATCATCATTTTGCACTTGAAGTATCGATAACTCCTTAACTAAAACATGTTTTATAATAACATATCTAATAACATAAAATATCTTTAATTTATGGTAAATGTCCATTTTAAACGCAAGCCTATCACATAAATGAAAGGATTGATTGATAAGTTTACGAACTGAAATTGAAATGACAAAAAGATGGTCAAACTTAAAAAAGAGATGCTGATACAGTTCAAACCAGAATATTATTCAGTAATGGGGTCATTATTGTTCAGTAATGGGGTCATATCTGGAGCTGTAGATCTCGGATTTATGTCTACTTAATATGGATGGAAAGGTAAGACATAGGCCTATAACTTTCATGGGAGCCAAGATTTAAAAAAGCCATTTTCAAGTCCAAATTATAGCAACAACGAAGAAGTCTAAATTTGTCCTGCAATCTAAATATTGTTCAGTGTTTGGCCCATATCTGCAGTTCTAAAAGTCCAAATGACCTCCATTTTTTTTACTGGAAAGCTGAGATAATTTCCTACAACTTTTATATTCCAAGTAGTTTCAATTTCGATGTTATCAATAATGTTTTGGACAGACAAAACAAGATAAGGATTGTCACCGAGTCAAGAGTTGGCCACCCACTCATTAAGTAGTCATCAAATCAATAGTTTCCAATTTTAGCCTATAAAAGGAGGTATTTGCCATGCATTTAGAC